TCTCTGCTACTGGAACATAGTGAAGCATATACTTAAATAATAGTTACATGCTGCAGGTTAGCATCACTTCAATGATATTATGGAGTTTGCATTAAATAAATTCAGTGATGACATGATATAGTTTAGTATCATTGGGTCTCAAGCAAATGATGAATAAGTTGCATTTTAAACAAGAAATGGAGGTTTAAAGTCTTGCTGAATGCAGAAGACTGTGACAGGATTTAGTAAAGTTAATCTGTGGTTGATGTTTTCACTTGTAGTATTATGATATTAGAAAGAAGTGTGAAGGCAGCCTCTGCTACGACTTCTCAAACTTGGAGAAGTTTCTCAACCAGAAGTCTGTCAGGGATGNATTGGGTCTCAAGCAAATGATGTATAAGTTGCATTTTAAACAAGAAATGGTGGTTTAAAGTCTTGCTGAATGCAGAAGACTGTGACAGGATTTAGTAAAGTTAATCTGTGGTTGATGTTTTCACTTGTAGTATTATGATATTAGAAAGAAGTGTGAAGGCAGCCTCTGCTACGACTTCTCAAACTTGGAGAAGTTTCTCAACCAGAAGTCTGTCAGGGATGAGCTCGGAGTCGGGGATATAGATTTTGTGTCGTGTAGTCCTATTGTGTACTTGGCCATGCTTGTGGACTGGATGAGAAATCTTGAAGTCGGTATTCCCACTCTTCTCGAGGATGGAGTCAAGTTGCTTGTATATGCTGGAGAATACGATCTCATATGTAATTGGCTTGGTGAGTTCTTTATTTTTTTTTTTTACTTGCATAGAATTTTGCTGCCTATTATATTATCTTGGATAGGGAAATTTGAAGTCTCGGCCTTCAAGCTTTTCCAAATAAAGCACCCCAATTCATAATCAAAGTTCTATGCCTTTTAAGTCCCCAAAACTTCATTTTCGGTGTATGTTGGTCTTCACTAATTAGACACCAACAAGTTCCGGTTAATTTGTAACAAGCTTTGCACCTGATAACTCATCTGAGGGTTGTTTTTGTCTAAACCCACTCATTTCCCTGAAGAACTTTTTAAAAAATGTGAAAAGAAAAGACTCAAAAACTTGAAAGGTCAACGCTCCTATGCTTTTTCGCCACATTTGGCACGCCGGAGTAGGCCTTATAAAGAATTTAATATAAAATTATAATGAATATCATAAGATAGATGGCATTATAATGGATTAAGGTGGAAAGTATCCATTAATTTTTTGTTCAAAAGAATGTCATTTACTATGCCCTTGTTTGACCGCCATTAAAATTTTAGGGTGCGTTTGATTGCAAGGGTGGAAAATGGGTGGAAAGAAAATGTTTTACAGGGAAAAGATTTGCCTAGAAAATGTTTTGCAAGGAAAATCAATTCAAGTGTGTTTGATTGGTATAATTTTCCACTCGGAAAATTTTTAAATTTTCTATTCGTTTGGCTTTGTTTTACATGAAAATTGTCCATTAAAGTGATATTTTTTTCCACAATTGGTTATAAAATTTGTTTCCATTGCCAAAAAGTAATTGTTTTACATGAAAATTGTCCATTAAAGTGATTTTTTTTCCACAATTGGTTATAAAATTTGTTTTCATTGCCAAAAAGTAAAAAAAAAAATGAAAAAAAAATTGTTTCCTAAAAAATCATTTTTTTCATCAAAGTTTAGTTTTCGTTTGACTTTGTTTTACATGAAAACACGGCATATCAAACACGGCCTTAATAGATTTTTCTACCTCTTCTTTTCAACCGCACATTCTTCAATAAAATAATACTACACGTAAATCAAAATTTTCCCCTTTTTAACCACGCATTCTCCCAAAAATTACTATTCTAAAATACATTATTACAAAAATTTCATTATAATGAGGGCCAAACAAGTGCTATATCTTCCTTTTTCAATTTAAACCCACCTCCAACCTTTGTATTATGTTATATAGCTGATAAATGACTACAATGAAAAATTAAGCCGCTGTTTGATCAACATTATTTTTTTCATTCTCATTCTTCTACTCATTTTCAACCATACATTTTTCAATAAAATAATATTTTATATCACATCAATAACTTTTCTTTCTTTTTCAACTACACATTCCCCATCACATCATTTCAAAAAAATGCATTCTATCATTTTAATATGCACCAAACAGGCTCTAAAGAACAATATTCCCCTTAATCCACTATAATACAGTTTACTATTACTATCAGTTATAATTTTATACTAAATTCCATATAAAACCTAATCTGACAAGCCAAACGTGGTCCATTTGTGAAAATTTATGGATCATGGCTGCAAAATCCCACAGATATTGTATTGCATATACAACTTAATCCGGTGTGCCAAACGCAGTCTATTTGTGAAAGTTTATGGACCATGGCTGCAAAATCCCTCTCAGATATTGTTCAATGTTCAACTTGCATTTGTTCGAGGTTGTATTTAGCATATTATCTCCTGATAATCAAGCAGGTAACTCAAGATGGGTTCATGCTATGAAATGGAGTGGCAAGGAAGAGTTTGTAGCATCTTCCGAAGTTCCTTTCGATGTTGATGGTTCCGAAGCAGGATTATTAAAAAGCCACGGGCCTCTTAGTTTCTTGAAGGTATGTTTCTCTCTCGGCATTTCATTCATCTTTCCTAGCTCGATTAAGTGTTTGGAAAGCATGAATCACCGCGTTTGATGGCAAATAGGTCCACGATGCTGGACACATGGTTCCCATGGATCAACCCAAAGCTGCCCTTGAGATGTTGAAGAGATGGATGCAGGGCTCACTCTCTGAATCCAAATCCTCCGTCAACTCTGAAAATTTAGTTTCTTCAATGTAATCAGAATCCTCAGCTTACTCAGAGAACTTGGTTTCTTCAATGTGATCACAAAAGTTTAATTCTCTCTCTGAACCATTGTTGTAAATATGTAAAAAGCCCGAACATCGGATGAATGGCCAATTTGATGCTTTTCTACATCTGTTTGGCCGGCAGCTTTGACTAAATGCCTTCGGAAGTTGAGCTTGTGATGGGATGAATTTAACTTGTTAGCTTGTGCTTGTAATTAGCTTTCAGAATGGAGATTGATTAGAAACCGCTTTTAACGACCATGCTTTTCAATTTTTTATTTTATTTTATGTTTTTACATACTCATTTTCAATCATACATTCGTACAATAAAATATTTTATATGCAGATTCAAAACTTTTTCTCTAATTTTTAAATACATTCTCCTTAAAATCACTATTCAAATTTTTTTTCTCGAAAGTATGATAGTTAGACACGGGTTTATCAGATCGAAATCTTTTGATTTACGAGAATAAATAAATAAAGGGTAATTATATTTGCAATGTAGATTTTGTTTATGGCACCACATTCTAAATGCATTTAAATTCTTCAAAGTTAAATGTTTGTTATTTTATGTTCTTAACTTTTTTTGATTGTATTCTTATCACCAATCTTTTATTATTTAATAACGTATTTTTTCCTTGACGACGATTTTTAGTCGAAATAACCTGTTAGCATGCTTTGCAATTTAGTAAAAATATTTTGTTGATTTTTTATTTATCTAAAAATAAATATATTTGTTTGGATGGAATCGTCGTTAGAAAAATATGTGCTAATTAAGGAGAAGTTAATGATAAAAATATGAAAAAATAATTTAAGATATACATAAAACAATAAATAAAAGTTAGAGATATTTAATGCAATTAAATTGTGGTGCAACAAACAAATTTTGTCACAACACGAGGATAAATATATTTACACAATAGTTTTTAATAATTAGATCATATTTTAGTTCCATGAAAGAATTATGGTCTTTACACATTATCATATTTATGTCTCAAAATTCTTTTCATTGCATTATTATTCTTAAATTAATATAAATTGTTTCTAATTATGGTTTCTCTCAAAAAAATTCTTTATGATAGCGTAAAAAGACTCATTTTCTCATTATATTTTTGAATAAGCAAAATAAAGGAGTGTAAAAATACGATCGAATGTTTTAACTCTTATTTTAAATCACGTTAATGATATTTCTAGATGAAAATCATGATTGACGATGATTAATGAAAAATAAAAAATAAGAATGTGATGAAGAATATTAGTGTAGCCGTGAATAAAAAGTTAATGACATTTAATTTAATTAAAATGTGCTGCATTTATAAGTAGGGTGAATATACCCCCGTACAACAACTCTTACGTTATTTTTAAATCATATAATACCCTTCATCTCTACTGTCCTATTTAGGAATGGGCAAAACAAATTCAAATCATTATAGCCATCAATTCGGTTCTTTCAATTCTAACTTTGAAGTATATTTTCAAATAGTTTTTACCGAGTTGTTTGGAACGGTGCAATTCCATATATCGATTATTTAAATTCCAAAACTAATTTTTACTACTTTTGCTGGACGTATCTTTGAAAAATTTCTCTGTTTCCCCACCTTCGAATTTTTCTTTCACTTGTACCCTTTAGTTCTCTGTGCTTGATAAAATTTGTTTTCCTTCTAGAAAATTCAAAAATACATTCTTAAAATCACAAGAATATATTACATGCATAAAGTTCAACACCTTCATGCATTTTCTTTTTAACCCTTGAATTGACCAAAAATAGAAAATAATTAAAAAAAATCTCATATATGCACAATGTACAACCCCTTAATGCACGATTTCCCAAATTGACCATTCTTTAATTCGAACCCCATTTCCAGCTCACCTGACCTTTTCTCCCCCCAAGTAATTAATCCCCCCAAATAAATAACTCATTAATTCAATCGTAAAATAAGTGTTCCGATCGGCTTCGATAAACTCAGAGCCTGACAGATCCAGTAAGTTCGCTCTCTCTCTCTCTCTTAATCGCATGTTTATATACACCAATCTGTATCTATATATGTAATCCCAATGATTATTCTCATGTATGGGATTATTCTAATGTAATCCTAGCTCCAACCATTAAAATTTGACTGCCCACTTTTTTTCTTCTTCATAATTTACTTAATTGTCGTTGTGCAGGACTTTTGAATAAACTGATAGGATAGAGATGGGAATTTTTGATGGACTTCCCATTTCCCGAGATAAATCGGTGAGTTTTTTACTTGGTTTTCTGTTAACATTTAACTCTGGTTTCTTTTTTTTTTTTCGTTGTTTAATGAGTGGAATGAAATTATAGTATGATAATTGATTAAAGAGTAAATAGTTTATGTAGAGTATGCAAGAGGGTAATGGCTAAATTTGGTTGGTGTTGAATTTTTGTTATATTTAAGGTTTCCTAATTAATACATTGTTATACATACAGCTTGGGTTTGATTTTTTTTTTCTACCCCAGGCTAATCTAAAGCAAGCCTCCTAATGCAAGCCACTCATGAGGCTTGAGAACTTAAGCTTGAAATTTATTTTTCTAAACAATCTAGTGTATGCATGCTAGTTGAACTTGGCGGTGTTTTCCATAATTTATTTAATATGCTTGGTGCTTTAAGGAAAGTTGTGATACAACTAATATGCTGGGGTACGTTGGGTGCTTAATGCTGTCTACTCAATTTACTGAAAATGAGTATATTTATTCAGCTTCATACCCTAGCTCAGGTTGGGTTCTGCTTTACTATACCAGGTTGATCTTGAGCAAGCTCTTATTGTGAGTAATTCATGAGACTTAAGAACTTAAGCTTTGTTAAGGAATATAATCCCACATCGAATAAAGATGAAAATATAAACCAATTTATAAGGTTTTTGACTACTCCTCTTAACAAAGTTGACCTTTTAAGATGGAATCTCAAATCTTAACATGGTATCAGAGCCCGTTAAGCTCTAACGAGCAATTCGATCCGGTTAAGACTCCAAAAGTGAGCATACGGATTTCAAGATTAGTCTGTTCAAACGAACCACCATCTTGCGGAGACATGTTAAGGGATAGAATCCCACATCGAATAAAGATGAAAATATAGACCAATTTATAAGGGTTTGTGCCACTCCTCTTAACAAGATTGACTTTTTAAGATGGAACACCAAATCTTAACAAGCTTAAAATTGTGTTCTGCATAATCTAGTGTCTAAATAAATGCACGCAAGTTGAGATTGGCAATATTCCGTAATCATTTGTGAGTTTACTGGATCTTCTCTTTTACTGTATTGAAATTCAACTTGAATGAACTAACATTTAGCTTGATTTACTATTAGTAGCATACATAAGATCTTACTGTAGGTGACGTGACTTCTCTTTAGTTGAGAGTCTGGAATACTGAATTGAAGTCATGAAGTACTTATTCCCCGTTTGTGTGTATAGAGAAACGAGAGAGAGAGAGAGAGAGAGAGAGAGAGAGAGGAATACAAAATTACAGAGCTATTCCTCTGCTGCTTTGTGCTGTGAAGTCAAGTCAAGGTGATGCCACGATAAGTTGGTGCTTGAGCTTAGCTCAAATTTTCAGCTCTAAACTGAACCCCAATTTTCAGTTGCTTTCTCTCTTAATTGATCTTAAGAGAACCTGAATAGGACAGTAATGACCTGAAGTCGTCTAGTTCTTTTGGTATGGCATTTTTTGGGAAGATGAACTGAAAGTCAATTCAGTGAAATTTACTTCTTTCTAAGTTGGCATTTTTATTCCCGAGTTGAACTCGATTGACTGCTCAGATTGATTGTGCATGAGTTCTTGTAGATAAAGTTTAGAGTGAAGGGGGGTTGTGTAGTGGACGAAGGCTTTGATAAATATGTTCTTTAAATATAAGATGCTCTCTATTTCAAAGAGTCAACTCTTAAAATTATACTTCAAGAGACTCTTTAAATGTTTGGCTCTCCAAATTTCACTCTCTATAATTAAATGCATTCAAATTATTTCAATTTTCAATGGAGAAAAATAATATAATAATTTGGAGGAAAGATAGTGAAAATAAAAAAATTGGAAAAAACAATAAATATTTTTTGGGAGTGATAAAATTAAGTATCAAATATAAAAAACCTGTTGGAGTACTTAAAAATTTATATTATCTAAATTTATAAATGCTATCTAAATTGTAGAAAATGCTCTTTAAAAATAAACAGTCTCTTGTCGATGCTCTTATTTGGGTTGTGGGGCAGGCATTGCCATAGAATGTTCAAAATGTGTGGAGATAGATTAGGAATGGAGGACTGAGTTTTGGGTAGTCAGCCTTCTGATGCAAGGACTTTAAATCATTGCTCCTTGATCGCGTAGTATGATAGTAATTAGTCATATGGCATGATTGTTTTCTATTTAGGACTTGAGATGGCCGATGGAAAATTGTGAATTAGTGATGGCAGGCTGTTATTTATCTGTGTACCTTGTAAAAGAGTTGGTTGCAGGATGTTTCAGTTGACTGCATACGGCTGTAGAAAGGAAAGACTAATCCTTTCAATGAATATTGTTGGCACTGATGGAGTGAATTTCTTCTCAGAATTTTATTTCTTGAAACTTGTCTGGGCCAACATCCCGTTAGATTCTTTTCAAAATTTTGGGAGCATGTGTTTTATTTTCTATCGTTCCTGGCATTTGATGCAAGTATACCTTGATAATAGCGTAATACACCCATTTGTTACTAACTTACTTTGTCGAAATTCCTCTGAACATATATGTACTTGTTTTATTGTAAAAGTGGGTTAATGTTAATGTAAAAAACATGCTTCTAATGGCACTCTGTCATAATTGCAGTACTTAAGGGAAGAACTTTCCAAAATAGATGAAAGTTGGGCTGCTGCGCGTTTTGATTCTTTACCTCATGTTGTCCATATTTTGACATCAAAAGATCGTGAAGGAGACGTGCAGATCTTAAAGGAGCAGAGTGATATAATTGAGGAAGTTGTTGACGAAGTAGTTCATGCCTATCATGGTGGTTTCAACAAAGCAATCCAAAATTATTCTCAGGTTTCGTAATAATACATTCTTTGTGTTGCCTTCCAGAAAGCATCATATATCTGACAAAGAAAATTTTCATTTTGGATCTGACCACATGATTAGAAATATTTTGCATTTTCTGTAGATATTTTTATTTATTTTGGCATGTGTTACTGACATGTGGATGGGTTACCTATACATTGAGGGACAACGGCTGTCTTCATGATTGGTATTCTTCAAGTAAATATTTATAAATAAAAACACGTGTCAATTGGCCAACGAAATAGATTTAACTATGCATTATAAACAACACCAGAAATGTATAGCCATAACTATATTTTTAGTCTTCAACAGGACATTTTTTTCCTTTCCAAATTCTTCTATTCTGGGACTTCTCTCTCTCTCAAGCAAAACACCAACACAATGTTATTGGGTTTTTAGGCTCCACCAAGGAAGGCTCATGGGGGTTTGGATTCCTCAACCATATATATAAAATCAAAAAGCAAGTGAATATTGTTAACCTTTTAGAGCCCCACTTCCTCTGGTGAACAAGAGGAAGTGGGGCATAAATTTGACCTCCCAAAAGCAAAAAGATGCAAGATATGAAGGAAAGGAATAAGAGGGGAAGTAATATTTCCCATACAAAAAGAGCAAGTGAATCTGGTTAACCTTTTAGAGCTAGAATGAAGGGCTATCAATCTTAAAGTTTTGTCAATATTATCTTTAATGTCAACACATTTGTGGTTGTCTGATGGTAAAAATGTGAAGAATTACGGTGAGCTAAACCTGAAATCTTGAGTTCTTTTTTTTTTATTATTATTTGGGAACTAAATTATTCAGAGATTTTTTTCTCCGTTTTCTTGTATAGAAATCAGATCAACCCATTTGTTTCTTTGTTTTTGTATTAATGTATTTTTTCCTTCAGATTTTGCGGTTATTTAGTGAATCTGCTCAAGATATTGGGGTCTTAAAGGTTGATTTAGCGGAAGCGAAAAACCTTCTTGGAGCACGTAATAAGCAATTACATCAATTATGGTATCGATCTGTTACGTTGCGGCACATCATATCTTTGTTAGATCAAATTGAGGGCATAGCTAAGGTTGGTGGGTTTCTTTACATAAGTTTTATTCACATAGATACTTTGAATATTTTTCTGTACTTCTGTTTACAAGATAGGATTACTAATGCGTTTTAGACTGCTGTGGAGGTTGCATTTTGAGAAAAAATGAAAGATATTATATTTTTTGGTGATGTAGTATATAATCATGATTAATAGTTTCTTAATACAATTGTGATTTAACTTTTCTAGTTTTCTTTTCTAGTTCTAATAGGTTTTATCTTGTTATTCTTATTTATTGTTTATAAAATGATTTCTTTTCTTTATTGATTAGAATATGATTTGTAATTAGATTATGATTTTATTAGTTTCCTATTATTAGTAGAAATACGAAATATTTTTGCCTAAGTCATTGTACACTTTTTTGATAATATCAATTATTATTCAATAACATGCAAGCAAATTATTTTAATATTGTTCTTAATTACTACATAATTTTTATTACAAGAATTTCATAAACATTTCCATACCAAAATTGGTATCAGAACAAGGAAATTACCTTATTCCAATGGCCGATGAAGGTCCTGGTGGCAGTCGAATTGTCAACGACAAACGGAAGCTTGATAAACTCGAACAACGAATTGATAGGATAGATGAAATCCTTCATAACATCACAACATCACGTAGATGCTGATTGCTTCGAGTCTTGAAAGGAATCGCAAGCTCAAGGAGAAGCAAGCTGACAAGAATTTGCAAACTTTAACTGTTATGGATGTTGGTTGTTTCAACAAGCATAGTACACGGCAATAGGTGGCTAGAGAATTTCCTCGAGTCCCAGCTTAATTTGAATATACACAAGTTATCAACGATTCTTCGACCGAGAAAATATAAGTCATATTTGAAATGCAACAAAATTTTTAGAACACGATATATCATCAATAACGAAGTATGCAAAGTGATAATAAATTATAAGAGTAGTGAGAACTTGGTGTCCAAAGCATTAGTGAAAACTTTAAATTTGAAGACCAAAAAATATTCATCTACTATCAAGCTTCACAAGGACAAGAAATTCAAAATATAGAAGTATGGAAAATTTCACTCTCTTGAAAAGTACTACAAAAGATGGGATTATATGTAACGTGATAGAGATAAACGATTGTCATGTATTTTAGGGACAACCATAGTATTATGATGTAGATGCCACTTATGTAGGTCGAGATAATAAGTATGTGTTTAGATTGTATGATAAGAAGATTGTTTTTGTATCATGTGACGAGCAATTTGTAAGTACTAGTGCAAACAAAGAGAAAAAGATTCATAAGACCTTCGACGAGGTTAAAAAAGAAATAATTCGAGATAATCAGAATTTTACCTTCAATGATACTACAATAGAAAAAGAAAAGCACGTGTAAGTTGAAAACTCGAAACCTGCTGATCCCCTATACATGAAAGTCGACAATGAAAGTAAATGTAAAGGTGAAAAATGCTCCTGTGAAATTACAATTGAAAATCCCAAGATCGAGCTGCACTTCAAGGATGAACAAGTTGAAGATCAGAAGTATCCAACATGAGAGGAAGAAATTAAACTTTTTAATCATGAAGGAGTCAAATGTGAGATTGTCAAATTGAGAATAAAAAATTTATCGACCTTTTCTACAGCTTTAGCGTCAAAGAATTGTATAAGAATAAGGAAAATATGGACGATGAGGATTGGAGTCCGCGTACCAGTTCTTTTGTGTTGAAAAAAGTATCACTAAACATTATATCCGAAGATGAGAAGTAAGAAGAATTGAAAATAGCACCAGTGGCCTCTACCGAGAGTGAACTCAAAGATGAGAAATCGAATCATGCTTCATTTGTGAAGGAATATCACATAATTATTGTCTATGAAGAAAATATGTGAAGGAATATCACATAATTATTGTCTATGAATAAAATATAAGTATGGCAGGACAAAGCTGACTTTGAAGAATGCAACTGAAGAATATAACAATGTTTATAAAGTACATCAAGAAATGATCATTTTTTCAATATCGGTATTTGCAGAAATTTGTGAGTGTTTTCCTTCTGATTGATTTGACTTTCTTTTCTTCAACCAAACTTGATGATGAATTTTTTTTTTCAAGTGGCAGAGATTGATGTAGTACATAATTATGATTAGTAATTTCCCACTACAATTGTAATTTATCTTTTCTAGTTTCCTTTTATAATTCTGATAGGTTTTATCTTTTTATTCTTATTTCTTGTTTAGAATAAGATTTATTTTCTTTATTGATTAGAATATGATTTCTAATTAGATTTTGATTTTATTAGTAGAAATATGAAATATTTTTGCCTATAAATATTGAAGCATTGTACACTTTTTTGATAACATCAATTATTATTCAATAACATTCAAGCAAGTTATTCCAATATTGTTCTTAATTACTATATAATTTTTATTACAAGAGTTTCATAAACGTTTCCGCACCATTTGGGCTTTGACGAACTAAAACATTTTAAAAGCACTAATTGTGCCGCTAGTTTACCTAAAATGCAGGAATATGTTTTCTCCTATTTTTCTAAATAAAATAATGACTGGTCCACTAATACCTATTAAGCCTGAGTGTTTCCCCTTTCTAGTTTTTGCAGTGTGCCGTGCTTGTAATATTGATCAGAAAATGTGGCACTCCTCGGTCTACAGAGACAACTCTCCGTTGATACGACATGCTATATTTTCAATATATTATGATTTCGAACTCATGAAAAATCGCTCAATGTCTCACATTTATATGCTCTCGTTTATTGACGGTGGATCTGTTGTGAGCTATGAATTTTATCAAGAAAGAGAGGCAGGATGCTAGCAGATGCCATTATCATCCTCTTCACAATGAAACTTTCAAGATGAAATAAGCCAGTCTGATTTACACTATAAGATTTTTTTGGTCTTTTTAACCTGTCTTTTGTCAACAAATAGAACCTTTTTTCATAAAGAGCATGCTAACTGTGCTTCTGATAGGCCTAGTTTATCCATTAGTCGTAAATACTAAATGGTGAAATTTAACTCAAGGGAGACTTGTAATTTTTTGTGGAAATTGTTTCTCCTAACAATGCCCCTGTTTGATGCCTATTAAAGATTTTTTTTTTTTTGGAGAAAATAAGTTTTGGAATAGTGATTTATGGAGAATGTGGTTAAAAAGTGGGAAAAGTTTTAGGTTTACGTGCAAAATATTTTATTGTGGAAATGTGTGGTTGAAAATGAGTTTTAGAAGAAAGAGTTTTTTTGGAGAATGGTAGACAAACAAGGTCTAAAACTGTTCAACTTTTCCACAATTCGACAATTTCCACGTTTCTTATTGTCATTTCTGCAACTACATGCTAACTGAAATTCTTACTCAAGCAGAGCTGTAAACAGAGTAACATTTCCGAGAAACCACAAGTTTTACTAGTATTCATTTTCATATGATAGACTTTTGACTGCTTGTTCTGTCTCGTTTCTTTAACAATGTTTCACTAATGCTACCTTTTTTCTCGTTTCTTGCTGTCTATTAGTTTTTTATCTTTTTTCTTTCTAGTGTGCCTTGGGGTTCTGGTCGTATTTATTGCTACCATTTTATCTCTACCTGCTGATGTTCTATTAGTTAATTATCTTGTTTCTTTCCAATGTGCCTTAGGTTCCAGGACGTATTGAAAAACTCATTGCTGAAAAGCAGTTTTATGCTGCAGTGCAGTTGTACGTTCAATCAAGGTTGATGCTTGAGAGAGAGGGCCTCCAAATGGTTGGTTATTTTTTCTTTTTGTTCTTCTCAGTCTCTGAAGGTTGGTTTCTTCATGAAGAATCATGCAGATTTAGCCTTATTTAACCTGGTGACTTTCACCTCGATTCTTCAAACTCCACGATGTGGATTTCGATTGTTGATTTCGGACTTGTAATTAAGGATATTATACTAATGGAAGGTTGTTAAGTCACTGTGAGTACAAAATCAGTGATTGGAGGCTAGATTAGTTGAATATTTACATGACAATTTTTTTTGCGAAAATCTCTCACGTCCACTTGACAAGAAGGCTTAGGAATGAAGTACTTCCTCTCAAACCATAATGCTACCTCTCTCTCAAGCTGCATCATTGGCAACAATACGAAAAAAATTAAAAAATAGTGCCATTAGTTAGAGATCATAGAGGTACTTTCAAGTTCCCACACAAATTTAATGTCTATTTATATTTTATATACAAGGTATGTTGCGATGTTTTTCTCTCGTTCAATGGAAATTGCCTCCTCCCTTTCCTATTCAAGTAACCTAGCCTCCAATTACTGATTTTAATATTCAAGTAATCTAGCCTCCAATCACTAATTATCATATCATCATTATGGAATAAAATAGGATATGAAAGAAATAATTTTACTTTTCAATGAGTGGATTTTATAAAACCACTCTTCAAACTCCATATTTTCCATCTCTATTTCAAGTTGAAAGGTATGAATGTGAATGTCTTTGACTGGCTCAGGTTGGTGCTCTTCAAGATGTCCGGTCTGAATTGACAAAATTGCGAGGAGTACTTTTCTATAAGGTTTTGGAGGATTTGCACTCCCATCTCTATAATAAGGGTGAATATAGGTATATAGTATTTCGCAAACCCTAACAAGCTGTCATCCCTGATTTATATTAAATTCTGTATCTATCAGTATTTTCTTCTGGGCGGGTGAAAATGTAGGTTGTCTAAATATTGTCTCCACATCTATGGAAGTGTTCTCGTTGAGGTTCAATTTGACTGCATGACTTTCCATTATAGTCTTTGAAGTATATGACTGAGGGATTTACCTCATTCACTGTCATTGAAAAAATCACACTATGTTTCTGTGTTTGGAGTACTCTTAAAATTTTTGTTTTTTTTTTCATTCAGAGATATTCTTTCCTTTGCTATCTTGGACAAGCTTCTTTCTTGGAAGCATTATTATTCTTATCATTTCGTTGTTAAGCTGATCATTCTCCCCTCCCCTCCCCATTCTCTTGTTGCAGCTCAGTGGTCTCGAGTATAAATGAAATTGACGAGGCAATGCCAACTACCACAGCTATTGCATTTTCTATGAACAATTCACAGCGTCTCTCTCGAAGAACCAGGTCGCTGAAAGGAGACAATCAGCTTGTAACATATGGTGCTGGAGATAGATTCTACAGACCTAGTTCTGTTGATGACGGGTTAGATACAACCCTATTTCTCAATGCAACTCTGTATTTTTCCCTTCGGTGACTGTTTGTCTTCCATTTTTGGACCTTCACTTCCAGATTTCTTTTTCATGCTTTTCATACTATGCATATGCATGCTACCTTAAATTCTTCAAAAATATGTATTTGGTGATTGGCTTCAACTTGGTTATGATAATTCATTTATTACTGCTTATTGCCAGCATTAGTGTTTGCTTTATACGAGGCTGAAAAGCTTCACAAAGTTTTAGATGCATGCTGTTATTAGATTTGAGAATAACAGCCTGTACCTCCAGATCAATTTCTTTCAATATTCTCTCTGATTTTATCTTGATTGTTTCTTCAAAAATGGACGGAAAGTGGATTGCACTTTGGCTTGGGGAAATGAGCAGGTCATCATATGCAAATATGTTACTGAAGACCTGGCTTTGGCACATCATTAACAAGAAGTTCCTCCCACCTGTGTTGGGCTCTCTTTTGTTGGTTTAGGTGCACAACCATTTGAAATTTTGAACGAGCATAAACGAATGTATTTTCCAGTACAGGAGACTCAAAATGATAGTTCCAGTTTGTCATGTATCACATGGATGCAGAACTACAGATCTTTGTTTCTAAGCGCCTTTTCTCAGTCTAAATGTTCTTGCAGGTCGTCATTTGATGGCCAAGACGAGGATGGTACTACGGATGTCCAAGATGATGCTACATCTGATGGATATACTATTATGAGGGTCAACGGTGGTGATACTGTTTCAAGGGATGGAAAAATTGTTTCTCGTCAAATACCCACATGGCTTTCAGATTCTACTCCTGATGAATTTGTTGTATGATCCTGTAAAACTATACAATTACGTCAAACTTAATAGAGGAGTAGGTTTATCTTATCTAATGGGCTGAATTCATACGTATATTTAAATGTAGGAAGCAATGAGAAAGAGTGATGCTCCACTGCATGTCAAGTATTTGCAGACCATGGTTGAGTGCCTCTGCATGCTTGGAAAAGTTGCTGCTGCTGGAGCCATGATATCGTATGTCATCAAGTTCAAGCTTATTTGGTTAATTCGAAACTTGTTGTATGGCAATAAAATGCACATTACTTTAACTATTAAGAAAGAATTTTTCATTAAAAATTTCCAATTTGATATAAAACTGTGATCAGGAAATCGGTCAGTTCAAAATTTTCCAGTTTGATATAAAACTGTGATCAGGAAATTGGTCAGTTCACTTCAAACTAAGTTACTTAGTTTGATCTAATGATATTTCTTTTGCCAAACTTCCGGAAACCTATCTGGGCATTGGATGCTTTCGTGATTGAAGTGAATTATGTTCTATTAATTATGAAGATTTTTTAAGTTTGTACATTCTCTCTTTTCCTTGTCCAAATGGGCTGGAGTAACAAAACATGTTCCTATTGAACAAGCTATAATTATATATATCTTTGGTCTAACAAAGAAGTTTTATGGAATATATTCTGTTTTCCTGGTTATTTTTCTCTTTTTTATAGTTGTAGACATTATTCTAAATTCGTTATGTTTTGTTCTTAACAGCCAAAGATTGCGGCCTACAATTCATGAGATAATTATTACCAAGATCAAAGCTCAGGCAGATCGCGTTAACGGATCTAGGCCTGGCATCGGCCAAGCTGCCTCAACTATGCTTACAGGTCTCCACTATCTAAAGGGGCAACTGGAGAGTCACCGATTGCCTAAACAAAAGCGTCAGAATGGGATAACATTGGCTGGAACTTTATTAGCAGTCAGCCCGGTCTCCCCAGTAATGTCTCCTGCTGGAACAGCACAAACTGCAGCAAAGGAACTCCTTGATTTAATTCTGGAAACTGTTGTTCGGATATTCGGTTAGATATTATGATTATGTTATGGAAGTTCATGTATTTTTTATACAGGTCTTTACGACATCGTGACATCTTTAACTGCAATGATTTTTCAGAAAACCATATTATTGTTGGAGAACTTCTTGAATTGAAGTCTTCGCAACTAGTTGACTTGAACACACCAAAAGTAATGGCTGCAGATATTAACTGGAATCCTGATTCTGATGCATCTCATGAAACTGGCGGCTACACACTTGGATTTTCCTTAACTGTGTTGCAGGTAGGTCTTTTTCTGTTTGCTATTTCCTTTTCAACGCAGCAAAACATTTCCTTAATCACATGTTTTGTTATGATGGTAGTGTGCATGTAAAGACATGTTATTGTAATTTTATTCCTCTATATACATGATAGAGTGAGTGTCAACAACTCATATGCGAGATCTTACGAGCGACTCCTGAAGCTGCATCTGCAGATGCTGCTGTACAAACTGCTAGACTTGCAAGCAAAGCCCCCTCAAAGGACAAGAGGCAAGTAAATTAAGACCCGATTGCCGTGTCTTAAATTTTCCTTTATCTTCCTACTTTTTCTATTTTTGGAAGTTTCCCATTTTTTCTTCTCTTCTTTTATTTGTACAGTTACATTTTTTCTTCACCTGTTTTCACGTACATTAGTTATTTATTACCATTGTTGATGTCAAAGTTCGGAAACTATCCATATATGCTTGAATCTCCTTATTATGCTTTGTGATCTCGTATTAATGACAGAACGCTAAAACAATTCATCTGTTAGACAGCACTAATCTTATAATCAAAGGCTCTCCAATGCTGTAGTCAGTCAAGGAAATAGATGGAGAGAAAATGGAACATCTCTGTGTAGGAATTGCTAGGTCAATCACTTGCAGTCTATATGCAGAATATTGGTTATGTTATCAGATTATAATACCTGCTTCCATGGGATGGAGGGTGCGAAGGTTTATACACTTGAACATTAGTTTGATAGGATGTGGACATCCATATTTTGTAACTGGGATTCGTGGTTTCTGTTGATCTAGGAGTCTTGAATATTCTTTAATAGTTCCCCAACTTCTAGATAGATGTCCAAAGAGATTCCTATTTTAGCTAGGTTTGGATTTCATCCCCAACAATTATTATCATCAACAATTATTACCATCATGTATCTAATTTTTTTTTGGAGGGTGGAAGGGTGGTTTTTCTCGTATTCCTGCTTGTAATTCAATTGCTTTTTCTTGCATCCTTTTATTGAGACATTGTTCCTTGAGCTTTTTCCGTGTACGAAATCAGGTTCCATGAAATGTTAACTAAATAGGACTGTAGAGATGATATTTTCAGTCAACTGAACTTGCAATGCTGAACTAATGGTGGTCAAAAAATGCAGTTGACAGAAAATGACAATTTGATTATTAACTCAGTATCAAGATTGGAGTAGTAGGATGCCCAGTTCTTTGGTTGATTTTTATAGGTTCCCTATTTGTTTCGAGTGTCTGTGGATTGTTGTGGGAGGTTTTTTGGGTGGGGATGGGGGTGGGGGTGAGATTTACCTTGTTCCCTTTTTTCATGGTTGCGGGGGTGGAAAGCATTTCTCAGTTTGAATATTAATCAATCAATAATTACTATGTTTTTGGTATGTTGCAAATTTAGTTTCTTTATTAATCAATCAATAATTACTTATCGATATTTATGACTTACAGGTCAGAAGATCGTCTTACCTTTGCATTTCGCTTCACAGATGCTACTATTCCGACTCCTAATCAGGGTATGGGATGAATGTACTGATGCCATTTTTTTATAGTTGTTTTGATTGCTTTGATACCATAGATTGCCCTATTAATGTATTTTTCCGAGTTACCAAAAGGATACATTGATGGCTTCAGTTTTTTTTTTTTGATAGGTAATCACGTAAATTTTATAAATCAAAAATAAAAGATAATACACAAGGAGTGCATTATCATGTTAAACAAGATAGAAACGATAAAAAATTCGGCAACCCTTCTATCGGACTAACGGTTGCAGCCTTAAACCAACTATACAAAGTCAAGTAAAACAATTCTCTAAATTGCTCTGTCGTCCGTATTTGGTCTTCAAAGCATCTGCCATTTCTTTCTCTCCACACACACCAAGCGATGCATCCTGGAATGAGATCCCAAACAAGCCTGCTATTCTTATCTCGAAACTTTCTCTTCCATGCCCACACCACGTCCTTTATACGCCTTGGNTTGCGAAGCCAGAATATCATTCTACCGATGGCTTCAGTTATTTGGTGGTTTAGTAATTATATATGTGTGATTTCTCTATTAATAGCTTACAAAAGAAAGAGATTATTATTACACGTTCTTCCATGAAAAAGGTACTTATTTACGATACAAGTGAGATCACTTAACAGCGTACGTAATGTTACGGAAAACATACAATTTATTTATTTATTTATTTTGGTACAAATGGTAAAAGTACAATAGTGCAGGAAGATGTGGGCATATGTTCTTAAACAACCTGGTCAGCTATGAATGTGTATTTTTTTTGTCTGTTTGGTTTAATGTGATAGTTTATAACAAATACAAAGGAAAGTGATGTAGATGAGTAAAATAAAACCCAATTGTTTTCCAAAGTGATTCGCATAATAACATAAGAAAGTCCGGTTTGTTTAAATATCTGGAAACTGGATGGTGAAGAATCAGCTTGATGTGAGAAACCAGTGTGGCTTGGCAAGGTCCACTAACGAACCTATTTTCCTAGATTTGGTTCTTTTGTTGTGCTTTTTTTTTTTTTGCCTTGAAAATACTTAGGGCCTGTCTGGCACAGCTTCTTTCCCAATTTGAGCAATTAATTGACCGTTGTTGCCTGGAAAATGGGTCCCAGTGTAGCAACAAAATTTGACTGTTTAAAAATGAAGTATCTAAAATGGGTTTCTTTCATGCAAACAAGAATTAAAGAGCCTGGTTAAAATGGTCATTCTGCCATAAATTTAAAAACATCGCGGCTGATGTGTCAGATATTCTGCAAAAAGAGTGTGATTTTTGTGAAAAGTAACGGTCCAAACTTTAATTATCAACGGTCCAAATTGTGATTTAAAGTGCGTCCAGACAGGCCCTCAGTCTTGGAGGAGGTTAAAAAAAGTGGAATAATAATTCTTTTCGACGATATGGAAATAGTTCAGTACATGAAAAATGTGAATGTATCCTGGATTAGTCGAAGGCCATTTGGCTATAATCTTGAGTCCTTTCTGTGTATTATATTGTCCCTATTATATTTTAGTTTTGAGACTGAGCTTCTTTAATATGAACTTGCAATGGTGCTTATTAATTCAAAGCATCACGATTATACATTTTCCTGCAAAATAAACTTTTCCTTAGGCGTGATTTATCTCGTCTAATGCAAAAAGTTCTGTGCATACGGTACCAGAAGTTGGAATAAATATCGTGATAATTGTATCTGTTGTTCAACTGTGCTCATGAAGTGCTTCTCTCCTGAAGTTACAATTGTGGAAAAAGGAATAGAAAAAAGTGAAATCAGCTGTTATTTCAGAATATTTAATAATCAGAGAAGCTGCAAATTGCATCAGGATATCCCTGTTTAAACTTTTTTTTTCTCGGTATAAAACTGATGTGCTCCAGTAATTTATTAAATCTGTTCAGGGGCTGACCTAATCCGCCAAGGATGGAGTAGAAGGGGACCAAATGTACTCCAAGAAGGTTATGGGACTGCAGCAGTGTTACCTGAACAAGGCATATATTTAGCTGCATCTGTGTACAGGCCTGTTGTTCAGGTACGGACTAGAGAATGGAAAGAGATGGTCTTTCCTGGTAAGTTTTTATCTACAGAAAGACATTTTCTAATTGTCCCATTTTTCCCTCTCTGCATCTGCAGTTTACAAATAAAGTTGCATCAATGCTTCCTGAAAAGTTTTCTCAACTTGGGTGAGTACATCACACACCTTTCTTACACTTGGCAATGCACATTTTTATCATTTTTGTGCAATATTTCAGTAATCAAGTAAATATGTTGATGTTACAAGTTATTTTTATCTCTTAAAGATCTGTGCATATCATGTATAATGCAGATGAAATTTTACTTTCTGAGGTATTAGGAATGAAATGTTTTTATGTTTTACCTGTTCAAGTTTTCTTCATCTAAATTTTGTTATTCTTGTGACTAGTTTGACTTTTCACAGACAACCTCGAACCAGAGAAATGCTTAGCAGCATTGCTGCAACATAAACTTGCATATCAGAATTAATGTAGTTACGTCATCCTGATTATAAGTGATTTTTGTGGAAGATTTGATTGAGATAATATTATAGGATTTACCAAGGGAAGATTGGGTCAATCTTTATCAGAATAATCAGATTTCTTGAAATTGTAAGGCCTGCAGGATTTTATCTAAATGGAAATGATAATGATTCTAGATTGTTGACTTATTTCGGGTTGAAATTATGAACGAATTAGGGGCTAATTTGTTTCTTTGAGTGGCGTCAGAAATATAAAAATATCTTTCGAGAAAAAAGAGACAAGGATATGATTTTTGCATCACCTGCTCAAGGGCTTGGAGAAAATACACTTGTTTATCATCATCCCGTACATTTTGTAGACTGCTTGTTTTATGACTTGATCCGCATCAAGTCTTCTTTGTAGGTTTTAAATTTTGCTTCCAGGATAATTCAGATTTTCTAGAGTTGAACTCGTACCTGATTGAGAATGTGACCTATTTCTGCGAAAACCTGCAAGACACCATAATTATTGAAAGAGCTAGGGCATTCTTAATCAAAATCAGTATGACAGTGTTACAACACTTACAGTAGCGGCATGCTTTATGAAATAGGACTGAATAATTTAGAAATGAAACCCTATTAAATGATTTGTGCGGAATTGAAATTGGTAATTTTTTTTTTTCTTTTCAAATTTGGAGTTAAGATATATAATATGACAAGAATATAAAAACTGAAATGACAAAATTTTGAGATGGCAGAAGTATCACATGTAGGATATTAACTGAGAAAATTGTATAATGAGTTTATGAGGTGATAATAACTTTGTTACAACTAGTGGCGTCACTAGGAAAGTCAAAAGTTTCAGTAAAATATAACAGCTTGTAGTTCAACCAAACAAGGTCTTTCATGGAATGAATGAACAGAATAAGAGAAACGATGAAAGTTGAAGTAATTGTCTCAATCCTGAAACTTTCATCCTTCTAGGAGTTGAAAATAAAATGATCTTTATATTGCTCTTGGTGTCTGGATCTGGGATTGGGGAAAATATAGTCAGCTGCTTTTGCATTCTGTTTTACCTGGAAACTTGTTTTCGCCACTAAATTCCCTCTCCTTTTCTATTTTCCTTTTAGTATGAGATTTTATTTTACTGCTTCATTGATCAAATCCAACCAAAACTTGGGGGTGTGGTTGATCTTAATTCGTTTCCTTTATTCCTTGTAACCATTATACATATGTAATTGAGTTTCATGAATTTCATTTGTTTATTTTTGTTTCACTTAATTTTGCAGGAATGATGGATTGCTAACATTTGTGGAGAACTTTGTGAAGGATCACTTTTTACCTACAATGTTCGTAGATTACCGGAAAGGCGTACAACAAGCTATATCAAGCAAGTCTTGTAACTTTTTGGCTAGTTGATATTGCATCCTTGTGTTTCATTCTTTTCTTTAGACTATTTTTATGATTTCACTAGGCATTTGATGTTGCAAGTTTGAGTGCAATTATTCCTTGCTACTATAAATTCATAATCGTGTCATCTTCCTGGAAGCTTCATGATGATATATAATGGATTCTCCAGTTTTTATGGTACACGGGTGTCTAGATATGATATCAGCACTTGTTTCAAACCTGTAGAACCGCCTCCGATAACTGTAAATATTGGCATGTCCTGCCGGTAGCTGCTTAATTTACATGGATTCTTCAGTTTTTTCCAGGTGGCAATAATTTTGAAAACTTCAATATGACCACTTAAGAATAGAGGTGCTATAGTTCATTAAAGGGCAATGATGCTTGCATAAGGGTTCTCTTTCTGAAGGGTTAAGAGATTAAAATCGGTTTTGTGTAACTTCAGAAGTTGAAAGGAAGGCATAGATCAATTAGATTTATATGACAAACAAAGATTTCAAGTTATAGGGACTAGGTTTGTGACAGAAAGTATGAGAAATATAAAAATGTAAGCATGCACAATGAAAAGATACATGCTGAAGCACCATTTAATTTGTTTATCCTTCTTAAATAAAAGGGAATTTTGTGCCTTCTTATTTAGATCATGGTGAAGATGTTAAAAGTCATCTGGAGACTGCAGGAAGTTTCTAAAAAAATGGTGTATATATTTCAATGTGAATAGTGATGCAAGAGTAGGACTTAATATTCCTTTCTTGTATTCTACATGAGTTTTGAATAATTGTGTACGTTGCATTAGACAACCGTGACCATGATAAGCAATGGGTACAAGACACAGAACAGGAGCATGTGTGTATTAACTGGTTGAAATTTACCCAAAATGCATGATTAAAAAAAACTTAATTGAATTTTGGCAAAAGAGAGTGATAGTTAAATAATTAGCAAATAGAACGATAAATCCTATACAATCATCTATCAGGATTTTAGGATTTTTTTTATAGCTTCTAAATCTTTTTTTCTCGTTCACCTTGTGACTCCCTCAGATAATTCGATTTCTCTGCTCAGACTATTACTGTGTTCTGGGCAAATGCAAATGTTCATGCCCAATTTTTTCTTTTTAATTTATTTTCTGAAACTATTTTGCCGTGTCCCTCTGACAGATGTTCGAACATCTGTTTTGTAAGTTATAGATGATTGTGTGAAAATAGAGAATGCAAGGCTGATGCCTCTTCTCCATCCTTTCGCTATTCGTATAAAATGTTAGATTTTTTAAAATGACATCTTTCAAATTTTAACAGTCTGCTTTAGAGTATTTATGTAATGTCCCTAATGCACCATCAATGTGTTACAAATAAATTAGGGCACTTTTTTGCATGTCTGGACATGTCCATTGCTTACCTGCGTAACATTCCTTCCAGCTTTTATTTTCCAGTGTAAGTAGAAAGCATCAATTTCATGTTGGCTGGTTTTTGTACGCCAGAGCAACGTGACACCTGTTATTCAGGATGCCATCTAGAGTGAGATATGGAATTTAAAGGGGCATCATTTTGCCAATTTATATTATGAGAATGACTGCAGTTCACCTGAATTGTTGTCAGGACAAACATTTCATTATGTAAAGGCGAAGAGGAATTGTATGCTTGGTTGAATAATTCTCTGTAAGAGATTAGTATTGGAGATTGATAATCATGAAGAACTGCCCTCTTTACGTGATGTAACTGATGTATCATAACAATTTCTGATTTTGTTTTCTGTTTAAAATTGTGAATAGGTCCAGCAGCCTTTCGCCCACGAGCACACGCAGCTGCTTCTTATACTCCATTAATTGAGAAGGGACGGCCAGTTTTACAAGGATTATTGGCAATAGATTTGTTAGCAAAAGAGGTATTCTTGATTTCAGATCCTAGACATTTTTGGTTTTCATGATCATAGGAAGAGTATAAAGTTTTTTCATTTCTAACTAGTCTTTTTCAAACTAAACTCCCTTTCACCTAGGTACTTGGATGGGCTCAAGCAATGCCTAAATTTGCTGGTGATCTCATCAACTATGTGCAAACTTTTCTGGAAAGAACATATGAAAGATGCCGAACATCGTACATGGAGGTATGGATGCTTCCTTTATTCATTCATTTTTTTATTTTTTTTTATATTTGAACCATTCTTCGCATATTTGATTAAGCCTTCTGTTTTCTTTTGCCTTACAAGCAAAAAGCATGTGCGTTATGCTCTTTCCTTCTTTTCAATCTGCCTCCTTGCATAATTTTTGTGGTATAGAACTTATGGCCATCAGGCTCTGGGTCCTACTTTACTAATAAATGTTCAGCACCTTGTTTTTCTTGGGAAATGAATTTGAAGAAAAGCTGGGAAAATCAAAATATAGCTTCTCAGGCTGATTAAGAGGATATTCTCCAAGACATAATGCTAGGTGGACTATATTTATCTGTATTAAACTAGGTCCATGTTCTAAACATAAACATGTTACGGGAATATAAAAATGTTCTTTTAAAAGTTTCTGGGATAAGCAAATGTATGGATATGTAGATAATCACAGTTTTTTTAAGAAGTGTCTATGTGTTCTTCTTTTAGTGTGACGTTCTGATACTATCTTCAATTACTCATTATTTTTCTGTTCTTTTCCTTCTAATCTATTAGTTTGTTTCTCCTCGATATATCAGGCTGTCCTTGAGAAGCAAAGCTATATGCTCATTGGAAGACATGATGTTGAAAATCTGATGCGACTTGATCCAGCCAGTGCATGTTTCCAGAATTCACTTGACCAGGGAATTCCAAAAACCAATGCTTCTGATGCCGTGAGCACTGAGGTTGAAATGGAATTAAGTGATATATTACTGAACTTAAGGCCAATTAAGCAGGTACCACACTCTTGTAAGCTATTATCTATTCTTACCTCTTTGTACCCTTTATTGCCTTGGGAGAAGGCTACTAGAAATTATTGTGTCTAAAGTGAAATATATCAAGTTCAGTTCAAATAGCAGACACAGTAAATGGTCTTATTATATACTACTGCTATATAAATTCTGTTCTCTTTTGCCTGAAAACTTCTTTTTGCAGGAGAACTTGATTCGTGATGATAACAAACTTATTTTATTGGCAT